ATCGGTCAAAAAAAAAAAAAATCGGTCAAAGGGTTATTTTACTATCTTCTTGATTCTGTACCCAAAGGCAATATTCCCCCTGGTGGTACATTTTTTTCTTAGATTTTCAAGAATCTAAGCAGGTCAGGAATGCTACTCATTTGTCTTGGAGGTGGATGAATAGCAACTGCTTGTAACCCACAGCACAACCCAGTGGGAAACAACGGAAAACTGCTTCAAAGAAGGAGTCCTGGGCTTCTTCTTTTTTTTTTTTTTTTCTGGGCGTCTTGAAAGATCTTCATCAGACCAACAGCTCACTGCTCTCACAAGTTTCCTTAGACTATCTGACTGCCTTCTGCTTGCCAATCACTGGCTCAGTACAATCATGTTCACGCACTGTGCTAAATGCTTATGATATTATGCCAAAAAAGACAAGGCCTCTGCTTTTATGGCATCTACATGCTAGCGCTGGGAGAAAAATAACAAAAATGGAAACAACATGAACTAGATTTCAGATACTGAAAGGTGATATGATCATATGTGACTGGACAAAGGAGAGCTAATTTAGACTGGGTACTAGAGTTCCATCTAAGATCCAAATAATAGGTCAGCCAGGAGAAAAACTGAGGGAAAAAAACTGAGGTACCAAGTATTCCAGGCAGAGAACATCTCAAGGCAGCAAAAAATTTGGGATGTTTACAGAACAAAATAAGTGTGACTGGAGCATGACGAATGGGGAGAGAGAGGAGATGAAGTTAGAGAGAAGTAGGCAGGGTCTAGAGTACTTAGAGCCTTAGGCGTCATGTAAGAAATAAGAATTTTTGCTTGATCTTATTTCGTACAACCTGACTGTTCTCAGGAGATCTGAATTTGCCTTTTGCCTTATCTCTTTAACTTCTGCTTATTCTAGGTAGGCTGACTATACCCTAGCCTGAATTATGCCAGAATGTCAGTCAGTTCATTTGGGATATAATCAATTGGGGGAAGGGGGCAGTACAAAATGAAAATGCGAAGCCCTTTGTTAAAAAAAAAATTATTAACAATTTCAAGAAAGTGACAGCAGAGGATTAAACCAAGTACAGGGTCCAACTAAGTGAGCAAGGCCTGTGTGACTGACTGCACAGGTCACATACCGATGAAGCTGGCCCTGATCTTGATAAATGTTACTTGAAAAAAATAAATGCCTTCTACTGATGAATAATTTCTGTTTTCATTTCACCTTATCTGTCAATCACATAAACTTATTCAAGATTTTTTAAATGGAGTAGCCTCTCAAACATGTGGTTTAAAGGAAGCTGCCAGGCTATATGGGAAAAGAATCAAAAACAGAGTGGATATATGTATATGCATATGTATAATAGATTCTCTTTGCTGTACACCTGAAACTAACACAACATTGTAAATCAACTACACTCCAATAAAAATTAAATCTGCAAATATTTCCACATTTTTAAAGTGGATTCTACATGATGATAATTTAATATAAACAATTACTTTTTTGTTTTCATATCAAAAAAAATAAAGGAAGCTGCACAGAAATAAAAAAACTAGGATATCAAGACTTACTGCAGCAACTTCATGCCATTATTGTGTACTAATTGGAAAACAGTGATTATCCAGTCTATTCTCAGGCAAACTACAATTCATTTGTTCTTACTATTTACTCAAATGTATTACTCTTCATCTTTTAGGTAGAAGGAAAGCACTGCAATAAATACCTACCAAATAAACAGTTGTTAGTACTGTTGGAATAATTGTTAGGTACTTCAAATTGCCAAATGGATCTAAATGGCTTTATTAGGCAGCCAGCTAAGAAATACAGCTCAGTGGCTAACATATTAAGATTTACGTTGCAATGTCCTTAACTTATGCATCAAAAATACTAAAAAATGTAATTATAAACCAATTTTTTTTTTTATTTTTGGCCACACTGTGTGGCTTGCAAGATCTTAGTTCCAAGATCGGGGATAGAACCCATGCCACCTGCAGTGGAAGCACTGAGTCCTAACCACTGGACCACCAGGGAACTCCCAGAAACCAAATTTTAAAAACAATACGTCTTTATAATCCTTAAGTCAGAAAGCCTGAAAACCAATAATCAGATAAGAAAACATTGTGACTATCAGGTTTTTTTCCCATTTTTCCTTCTTTTTCCACCTGCACCCATTTCACTCACCTCCATTCCCCAAAATGGTTTGTATGAAAAATAACAACGTATTTTACCTACTATGTAAAATTGAACATGATCATAGCTAACTAGAAAGTGTTCACAAGGTTCAATTATTTACTGCTAAAAATGATATTACAAATAAAAGATGCTGAGTCTGAAATGTCAGTCCAGCCCCTGATGTTTTAAGTTTGTAATCAACATCTCTACTTGCAGGACAGGGTTGTACTAGCCTTGCCTGAGTTGCTCCCATTCCATTCATGGTAGAACCCATTACTTAGCATTAGTTACCACAATGATTTATGCAACATCACAAGCACACTCAGACTCACAAGAATTGCAGCCAATGCTGCTCTATTGCTATCGAGATTACTGTACCTTGGAAAAGAGCAATTTCATTTGCAATTATACAACAAAATAAAAGTACAAAACAAAGACATTATTAGTGACATATTTATGCTGCTACCTCTTGCTACATGGAAGGGTTGCCTGGAAAAAAGGAATAGTCAGAGGGAATGTTTTGTTGGTTTCAGTGACATTAATGTTTGCACAGGGTTTGAGTCTATGCTGTAAGGAATTTAAAATATGACAGGTCTTGTCCTGAAAGAGATGACAATCTGGTATAAGAACTAAGGTAGATACAGATGAAAAAAATTTTCAAACATTCTCATAACACAGGAATAAGTCTGTAGAATCAGAGAATCTTGAAATTTTCGTGTCAAAGTAGAAAAGTCATGAGGACACGGGGAGGGGGAAGGATAAGCTGGGACAAAGTGAGAGAGTGGTAGTGTATATATGGACATGTATACGCTACCAAATGTAAAATAGATAGCTAGTGGGAAGCAGTCGCACAGCACAGGGAGATCAGCTCAGTGCTGGGTCCACCTAGAGGGGTGGGATAGGGAGGGTGCCAGGGAGATGCAAGAGGGAGGAGATATGGGGATATATGTATACGTATAACTGATTCACTTTGTTATAAAGCAGAAACTAACACACCAAAAAAAAAATGTAGAAAAGAAAGAAGATACTTTTTTTTCCTTTTTCTTTTTTTTGGTTTCTAAATTTCTGGCCCTGTGACCACAGTTAATCAGTTACTCTCTCAAGGTGACCATCATCACTCACCTGCACTACAGCAACTGCCTCCTAACTGTTCTATTTTCTTTTTTGCTCCCTTCCCTTTTCCACACCATAACCAATATCTTTTTAAAAATGTGAATCAGATATCACTTGTATGCTTCGTATTATTTTTAGAATAAAATACAAACGCTTGGACATGGCTTATAAGGCTCTGTATTATCTGGCCCCAGTATACCTGCGCTGACCCATTTCCTACCACTTTTCTCCCTGCTCACAAGGCTAGGAAGAGATGGCCTCCTTTTTGTTCTTCAGTGGTAAGTAGCTCTTTCTTGCCTAGGGGTCTTGGCATGACTTGGAATTGTCATTGTGTAGTTTGCTCCTTATCATCACTCAGGACTAGGCTCAAATGTCACATCCTCAGAAAGACCTTACTTTACCTCCCTTCCTCTTTTTTTTTGTGGTACGCGGGCCTCTCACTGTTGTGGCCTCTCACGTTGCGGAGCACAGGCTCCGGACGTGCAGGCTCAGCGGCCATGGCTCACGGGCCCAGCTGCTCTGCGGCATGCGGTATCCTCCCGGACCGGAGCGCGAACCCGTGCCCCCTGCATCGGCAGGCGGACTCTCAACCCTGCGCCACCAGGGAAGCCCTACCTCCCTCTTGACTTTCAGTCACACTGTACTGTTATCTGAAATTCCATTATTTATGTGTCTGTTACTTGCTTTTCTCCTGAGTCCCTCAGTAGAAAGGACACACTCCATAATTGAACTGATCTTCTCTGACTTTCTCTGTGCTGTAGGCCCAGTAGGTTGAACAATGTCTGGCCCACAAGAGAGCACAGTAAATAAAATGCTGAATGACAAAGTCAGTCATTTAACTTCGCAGGACTTCAGCTTCGTCATCCATGAAGTGGGGATAATTATACCTGCTCTGGACATTAGCAATAAAAAGTAATGTTTACTAAATGTTTACACTGTGAAAATTACTTACATGCATATTCTCATTTACTGTTATGATTCGTACTTTACAAGAAAGGCCGTTAAGTTTTAAAAAGACCAAATAACCTAAGGACACACGGCCATAGTGAGGACCCGGGTATGAATGCAGACCTGCTGTAACCTCAGAATCTGAGCTCTTAACCTCTACTTTATAGTTCCTTGAAAGATTCTTTCTTCCATTACAGCAAAATTGCCTATGCCGTCCGCCCCACGCAGGTCCTAGTTTGTCCTGTAGCACAACTGAAGAAAGCTATTACATCCCCCATGCGTTTCTTTTCCAAGATGAATATCCCCATTTCCTTCAATCCTTCCTTAAATGATCCTCATATCCTGGTCACTATCCTCTCAAAAAACCAGTCTGACAACGTCTCTCCCGCCCCAGAACTGGTTAATTTTCACTGGGCAAATGGTTAAAGGACTTCAGAGCAGCAGAAGCCGATTCCCAGGGGCTGGGAAAATGCAGATGTTCAAGTGTTTGAGTGGGCTGTGGTTAAAACAGGAAGGCTTCCTGGGAGAGGTGATCCTCGAGCCGGAGTTCAGGGCAGTAATAGCGGATCGGCGGCCACAGTACCCCAGTCAAAGGACCGCGCGGGACAGCGGCCGCTGGGGTCCGCCGGGTCTAGACAAAGGCTGCTGGAGGTTAGGAAGATCGGGGACACAAACCCACGTGATGATGGCTAGCACGCGGAAGAACGCAAGTCGTTTTCCTAAAAGTAACTTAAATAGCTACTGGAGGGAAGCAAAGTGGGAGGAACAGTCAAGAAGCAAAACGCGAACTTACCCGGCAACCCGGCCTCCGTAGCCCCACTACAGACGCCGCCACCTGAGGAGCCCCGTAGCCAAGGCAGCGGCTGGCTCAACCCAGAGATCGCGAGACAGAGCAGGCCTCGCGAGATCTGGCCTCTGGCCTCTGACAAGCGGGCGTTCTTTCCGGATGCCATGGGAGGACTCAGGGTTACGCGATGGGGTCGTGTGGCTTTCTGTGGGTGGCCCTGGAACCACCCTGGAAACCCGACCAGGGCTGCGGAGAGGGTAGAGTCTTGTCTCAGGTCGGGGAGGAGCGGGACAAGGGGTGCTGAGAGGGAGCTGAGACGGCTCGGGACATGGAGGCGCCCGAGCTTGGCGGTGCAGCCGCCGCGGCGGCCGAAGAGTACTAACCCCTTCACGCGCGCACAGGAGGAGGATTGGCGGCGGCGGAACAAGACCGTCCTCACGTATGTGGCCGCGGCGGCCGTGGGCATGCTGGGGGCGTCCTACGCCGCCGTGCCCCTTTACCGGCTCTACTGCCAGGTAGGGCTTGCGCTGCCCGTTGGGCGGCCCGTCTGGAGGGGCGGGGGTGCGGGCAGTTCCCTAGACAGCGATGCTCCACGGTGCCGTGTTGGAGGGATGTCCGAGATTATCTACCAAAGAAAATCGCTTTCTAAGGAAACAGGCCTTAGAAAGTGACTTACTTGCCCAGGGTCACTAAGAAGGTGACAAGGCTACCGGTAGAACCCGAGTTCTTATAGTGATCGTGCTTATACTCCTCTGCCTAGTGAAATTCCCCGATCTCAGCTACACCACCGGAAAGGTCTGCAACCTGTATTACGGTATCCAGCGATCTGCCTTACTCTCCTGCTGTTCACACACGGGCCCGCTTTTAAAATGTAATTTATGTTCATACATTAATTCTGTGAACCACAGAAACCATGGTTTCTGTGCAAAGGTTAACCCTGGAAATGGGAGTGTGCTTGCTACTTGTAGTTAAACTGGGAGTAGCTTTTTATGTATACAAACTAGCATGAATTAGGACTTCGAGGCTTTTCCCCCTTGTTAATATGTAACTGTAATGTCCTTACCCTAGGGCTCCTTTTTAGATAAGAAACTCTAGTGCAATGGTTCTCAAAGTGCAGACCCCAGGACTAGCAGCAGCATCATTACCTGGGAGGGGAACTTGAGCGCAGATTGTTGAGTCCGACTGCAGAACTGTTGAATCAGAAACTCTGGGGGCAGGGCCCAGCAGTCTGTATTTAATAAGTTCCCTAGCAGATTTTGATGCAGGCTAACGGTTGAGAACCGCGGGCAAAGGCAGAGTTCACCTATTTCATATATATTCTGCTAAGTTCTTAGGCAGTAGTTTGCTGCTTTATCTGGGCATTAGGATCACCCATGGGGCTTCTTAAACAAACATGTCAGGGCTCCTGTAACCCAGAGATCCTGATTAGGAGACGTGGGTAGGGGTCAGGAATTTATGTTTTAAAAACATAAATGAGAGCTATACATTGGGTTCATTCAGTGAGTGAGTGATAGTGGTTCCCAAACTTTGTTGTACATCGGGATCACCTGGAGAGCTTTTCAAAATCCTGACACCCAGGTCACATCCCTAACCAATTAAATCAGAAGGTCTTGGAGTGGGAGTCAGGAAGTAGTAATTTTTTAAAGATTCCAATGCTCAGAAGAGTTGGGGAATCACTGGTTAGCTGCTCTTTCCTGCCACTATTGTTAATGCCTGGCTTACTTCTCCTGTCCTTTTGAAGATTAACTTTTGCCTTTATTTTCGATAATGACTGAAACAGCAGAAATCTGAAGGACTTTTCAGTCTCTTAATATCAGCATCTATGTAGGAAAGTGCAGTAGCTTGATTTCTGGAGGATGAGTGTAGAATGTGAATTAATTTTCATCAGAGCCCAGCCTGGACCAAGCATGAATCCCAGAACTACCAGTTGATTAAGTCGTAAGCAGACCTGAATCTAAAACAGCAAGTGTAGATCACCCCAAACCACCGGTGAGTAGGCAGGGGAAGGTGGGTGGTTGATTTTATTCTTCAGGCAATATATAACAATGTCTGAAGACATTTTAGGTTGTCACAACCTGGGAAGTGAGGGTGGGAGGGTGCTACTGGTATCTAGTGGGTAGAGGCTAAGGGATGCTGCTAAACATCCAACACTGCAGGGGGCAGATCCATTCCCCCACCTCCACCAAAAAAACGAAAAAAAAAAAAAACCAAAGAATTATCCTCTCCAAAATGTCATTAGTTCCAAGATTGAGAAACCCTGCTCCAAACTGAAGTGAATGACAATATTTCATGCACCTGGGTGAAAGTGCAGGGCAGGAAAGTAAAAACAATTGTAATTTGTAATCCTAAACTTAAATCATAGTTGGATGTTTAGTAGTGACGTTTCCAAAAGAGCATCTCTTTTATTTTTGGAACCATGGAACTTTAGAGCCAAAAAATTAGGGATCATATAAACCACTTCATACACTGAGCTCATTTTATGAGTATGGAAAGTGTAGCCCAAAGAAAGTAAGATTTAGTGAGTTTTTAGAGCTAGTGACAGAACTAAACTGGAGCCCAGGACATTTTCTTTTCAGTGCCTTTTTCTATTGTTTAATTTCTCAAAGCATCACATTTACTAATTTGAAGAATCTGTATTCAAAGACAGCCTGTCAGAAAGAAAATATTCAGGAATCTTTATTTAAGTGAGTCAGGTTCTTCAGGAAAACATCTTAAAACTTAGCCCTCTTGAAGAGAAGTATATACTTGTCTATTAAGCAAGAGTAAATAAAGGCTTGCCCTCTGATGTATCTTGTAGGGTTATAATGTAACTTTATATTGCATGGCAGCTGAGTGAAGCTGCTTGACTTGTGTAACAAGCTAAGATGGTAATACTATATTTTGCTGGGAGTCTTCCCTAGCCTCAAGTTTGGTATTTTTTTCCTAGTATAGTAACAGGTTAATTATCCGGAGACCAGAATTCTGGCAACCTCAAGCATCAAAAGAATAATTTTTTTTAAGCTTCTCTGATAAGGAAATAATTAATGGCAATGAAGATAGACAAGAAGTATCACAGATTATCTTGATGCCTTATGATTAGTTGATTCAGTGGCCAAAGAGATCAGGTTCTCTGATTAACTGGTAATATATATATATAAAAGCTGTACTATACAAAAAAATACAGAAAAATATTTACAAAAATATTTATCAACATGGAAAAATACTTATGATGCTTGAGGAAAGCAGACTATAGAAGTGAAGCTACAAACTAATCTGTGTTCTAAAAGTTATGATATGAAAAAGGACCAGACAGGGATGTGGAAAAATGGAATTATTTAAATAGTTTATTGAAATGACAGCGTTGTGGGTAAATTTTATTTCTAATAATAACAGTTGATATGAAATATTAACAATAAGGGGATATATGTTTAATGAAAAGTTCAGCTAAAAATTCTGAGCTCTATTATCAGTGGAGAGTCCGCTCTCTTTCAAATGATTCCTTTTTGACCATGCCATATAACCAAGTGATTACTGAATAATGTGACTTTAACCAGTATAGGCCCTTGACACCCAAAAAGTGGTCAAACCATTGGCACATTCATAGGAAACGGCCAGTGATAGTATATAAACCTTGCTGCTACTGGATTATTAAATAGTTTTTAAAATTTTGTTTCATCCAATAAATAGGTCATCAGCACCTAAAACTACTGTATTGTTGTTTAGCATATTATATTGTACCTTGTTGTCTTTTCCTAGACTACTGGACTTGGAGGATCGGCAGTAGCAGGTCATGCATCAGACCAGATTGAAAACATGGTACCTGTTAGGGATCGCATCATTAAAGTCACCTTTAATGCAGATGTGCATGCAAGTCTCCAGTGGAACTTTAGACCTCAGCAAACAGAAATATATGTAAGTGATTAAAGCAGTTTTTAAAAGATTGCTTTTTTCAATGTAAAAATCCTTTCTTTCATCTCTTACTGGTTCACAATTTAGGAAACATTCATCTAAACTTAATTTCAAAATACTGACAGATTCCATTACTGTAATCCTTTTATTCCTGCAGACTACTTTTTGACAGTGCCCTATATTCTGACCTAATGTAACAGGATATACTTTTAACTTTTAAGTTACATGGCATTATAATAAAAGTCAGTTTGGAACTATGGAAAATGTCATGTTTTTATTAGAATCATATTAAGAATTCACTAAGTTTTCTGGTCACTAATCTTGACAGTAGGAGCAGCTCTCATCCTTTATAGTTGACTTTACCTCAGGTATAGATGATACAAGAAAAATGTTGAAAATCATTGGTTACAATGGAAAGTAGTTTACTGATTTACATCAGAAGTATCCCTGTCCCTTAAAAAAAAAAATTTAAGGATCTTTGAAGTAATCATGCTAAATAGTCATGTTCTATTTCAGAAAGATTATACACCTTAAAAGTTTCCTAAAATTGTGATTAGAGGATTTAACTGAAATTATCTAATGAACTGAATAGCCAGAAAAGCTTAATTGTAACTCTTATTGGAAAACCCTATTAATATTAGTGCTTCCCCAGGTTAGTAAGCTTCATTGAATCTCTTCAGTGATTTGAGGGTGTTATAGGTTATGGTTCTTTCTGTTTTTTTTTTTTAAATTAATTTATTTATTTTTGGCTGCATTGGGTCTTTGTTGCTGCATGCGGGCTTTCTCTAATTGTGGCGAGCGGGGGCTACTCTTCATTGCGGTGCGCGGGCTTCTCATTGTGGTGGCTTCTCTCGTTGCGGAGCATGGGCTCTAGGCGTGCAGGCTTCAGTAGTTGTGGCACGCTGGCTTAGTTGCTCCGCAGCATGTGGGATCTTCCCGAACCAGAGCTTGAACCCATGTCCCCTGCATTGGCAGGCGTATTCTTAACCACTGCGCCACCAGGGAAGCCCTAGATTATGGTTCTGAATATTAGTTGCAATCACACAGTAGTATACAGTGGTGTTAGTTGCTAAATTGGTACATGTGACAGAGCATCCTTTGGACGTTGATTTCTTTTTTTTTTATTTATTTATGTCTCATTTTACGTTGACTTCTTTAAAGCCTTGCAATTTATTTTATCCGTTATTTTCTCTCAAGAAAAA